CCCACATCGTCGGACAACAAACAGCATGAATCAGCGGCAAGCTGTAACAGTTGGGACCTTCGGCACTCGCGGGGAAGTCGTTGCAGAGGAAGATCTCCTCAGGAGACGGCGACTCGACACTTCGTTTCTCCGGGTCGAAAATAGCACAGCACTCATCCCCCAGGATCTCCCGAGTGTTCAGCACCTCGCCCCCCTTGCGGGGAATCAGCACCTCACCGAGACAACGGTTATTGGCGCCCTGGACCGGACGATCCAGAAGACGGCTCAGCGCATCAGCGTGAGCGTTAGCAGAGCCCGGAATAAACTCCAACGATAATGTACCGTGCTTCCGGATAATGTCAAGTTCCGAGCCGATGGAGTCGACAAGTCGCACTATAGCTCTTCTCTCGAGGAGCTTGGAGGATTGAAGCTTGAGAGAGCCAGAACGAATCCACGCCAAACTTGGTCGATTATCACATCGAAAGCAGACATTCACCGGGACCCCCCTCCGCTTCTTGCACGCGGATTTGGCGCAGTACTCAGAGATCTCAGCGACTTTACGAAGGGCCAGCAAGCAAAGACGAAGCTCTCGTCTATTGCTGGAGTGAAGAGTCTGGCACCGGGAGAATCGCACCGCATCCTCGTATACAAGCTCACCGCCAGCATAGATGGCGAGCCCTCCACCGAACAACGAAGCATCGCTGCTGACCTCGAGCGATATAGCCTCGGACACATCACGACGGACCGCAACAGCATGCGAGCAAGGTTGAGCTTCTAGTTCGCAGATCTCTTGACCCCACCGAAGAACCTCAAGATAGGCCTGTTTATAGTCGTCGCTCAATAGCGAGAGATCACAGGGTACGTCCCAGCCTATGTCGGCAAAACAACCTCCAATAATGGACCTCAGCACATCTGCCAACATCCTCGCGGAAGCGTGCAGCTTCGCACAATCGAAGGATAATAAGCCAGATACACCGAAATAATCTTTTTTGGTGAGCTTTTGAGATAGGGGTGCTTCTCGGCGGAAAAACTCGAGAGC